TGACGAAAAAAACAGAGGATATATTAAAAGAATGTTGGAAATATGGTAATAATTATTTTTATTTATGATGATTTTTTTATATTTATAAGTTTATACAAGGTTTTTTAAGAAACTTTTTATATTTATTGTTTTATTAATGATATATAAAAAGATTTTCTGCCTCTCATTAATATCCTCTAAATAAAATTATTTTTCAACTTTCTTTTTTAATATAGATACAATAAAGTTATGCCATATCTTAACCATTAGGTAAGGCTCAAAGACTTCCGTAATATGAAAACAACTAAAAAGTCAAGAAAAATAATATTATTTGATCCCTGGAATTGAACACTCTTTGAAGTTATTTTTATTACTTTGAGTCATTAAATATATTTATTAGAAAAAGATATTAATTTCAGCATTGAAGTATCTTTTAAGTCCCCAATTAAAAACTGTTTTATTACTAGTATTTAAGACTTTCTTAAAAAATTGGGAGTTCTCAAGAAATCCAAGTTCTTTTATACCAAATAATCTTTTATTGGATTGAGCGCCTTTCACAACAAAACAAGCATCGTTCCAAGATAATAAGGGTGGCATGTGGAGTCTAGTCTGCCTGCATAAGGACATATTTTCCGTTTGTTTCAAGAAAACAGCGGCCATCGAACTAGGTAACTAATTTCGGGTTTCATTATTTTATTACAATATTACATGCTTGGGAAAATACCGTCCAAAATCACCCTGGAGTCTCTATGAATTCATCAATCTCAAAAAAACATTTGTTTGTTCATTTGAATTCAGTGACTTAAATTTAATGAATATAATACAAGAAATTAACATGAAATGATCCCAGTTCAAAAAATTGATGCAATGTATCAATAACCATCGAACTTGTAACTCAATTATGTGCATGCAAATATGAGAAATAAGATCCTGATTTCAGATCACATGTGAAAAATGAAGAAGAAGAAGAAGAAGGGGAAGAGCGTATCTTATAATTTTTTTAATGCAAAGCACATGGTCGGAGACAAGTTTTTAATTGAAGAAGAAGAAGAAGTGGAAGAGCGAATCTTATAATTTTTTTAATACAAAGCACATGGTCGGAGACAAGTTTTTACGCTAATAAATCCACGCGCATTTAAAAGTCTACTCCCCGTTTTTATTTTCCTTTAAAAAATCAATGCACCCTTTTAGAATCAAGTTTCGCTGGCCTTCCCTTCATGTTTTTTCATCTATTCAATCCTATAGAATCAAGTTTAGCTGCCCTTCATGTTTTTTCATCTATTCAATCCTCACTTTACATGCTGAGCTCCAGCCTGTGGCAATGCGTTACGCCAGCTTAATCGTGCATGATCTGTGTGAAAAAGTGTACTTATCCTCGAGGAAAGCAACATGTCATGTTGCTTGTTGCGTCCTTCGATTCGACGCAAGGTTCTCTCGTTTTCTCGGTGAAATTCAAAACCAAAAGCTTTCTATTTTTCTTTTATAACAAAAGGAACAGAAACTGGAGGGACATAAAAGCTTCACTTCGTATTGCATAGATGCTAATGATTATAAATATCAATGCGTTCATAGCTCAATAAAAACTTCAATGGACTATAATTCAACAGATATTAACTCTCTCATTTTGTTTAAAAACCTTTCTTTTGTAAAGAAGAAGAAGAAGATGATACTCTAGCAAAATAAGATAGGTTCAAATCTCACATTTGTATGGAAAAACAAGAATGGTCAAAGAAAGGTTTGTGTAATCTAAGTCATCTTGAAGGCACTGACAGGATATTCTGTCGGAAAAATCTGCAATTTTCTGGATCGCTGCACGTTATTGTTTACAAGGTCAAGCAAAAAGCCGGGATTGGACATTGGTTACCTTAAAACTTAAAAGAAAGAGGGAACAGCATACCCAACACTGAGAATTAACTTTTGAGTAATGCAAGAAATGAGTATATTACTAGAAAGAAAACGTAAAGTACAGCAACTGTTATTCTTAACAAATCACTATGCAAGCAAGTAATCAAAGATGTAACGCCTGCAAGTTGATTGGATCCTGGAAACATGATGCAAGGATGCGTCGGTGATAGTGCTTTAATCGTAGGTCAGGAGAGGACTCTGAAGTATGAACACAACATGAGGTGGGCAAGACGATGTTTTAAAACAACCAGCCACATACATTTCATCAAAATTCACTTAAAAAAATGCCAATTGAATCAAAGTACATTTCCCAGGTGGCCAGATCCCACCAATCATTTACTGATTCAAGAACTCTCAGTGCTCTCCAACCCGAAACTAGAACAATTTCGGGTTGTTGGGAAGGTAAGGTTCAACTCCACCCCCAAGCTGCACCTCTTGCCTGCAAGAGTTACCTACGACTGGAACCAATAGGCCCATTGGTAATTAGCGTGCAATTTTCATCAAACTGTTGGCTAAGTTCGGATTTCATCTTCTTATTTCACTTGATAAGTGGTGGTAAATCTGGGCACCCCAAACATGATCAGAAACTAGCCTGAATAGATGGGCACCGTGATGGCTGCTTTGGCTAGGAGAGAAAAACAACCACTAGGACCCAAGATGGAGAAGATAAACAAAGGTCCACACGAGGGAAGCAAAACTAGCCTAGCACATGTGCAGTAAAAAAACAAAACGAACAGTACCGGGACTCCTTGGAAAGGAAGATCTATCCCAATCATTCAAAACTGTAGTTATGTGGAAAAAAGTCATCCACAAATAAGCTGTAACAGGTCCATTGTTTTTTTTGTTTTTGGTAAGTATAACAGGTCCATTGTTTACAAAGAAAGATGCCCATTTTTGAACAGTACTCATAAGGTAGCCCGTACTATGCTACGGGATTACTTTTTAAAAATCTAAAACCTAAGAGAATTAAATTCTGCCAAAGGAAAAAAAAAAGGTCTCGATGTAGAATTTATTAGGCTTACGTCCTGATCAAATGACTTATTAGTTTTGGATTTTAATAATATACCAAAAAAAATTTAATATTTAATTTAAGATAATTAGATAATAAAGCAAGACTTATTAACTTTACATGTTGTTATTGGATTCAGGAGAATTGGATCGTGAAGCTTTTACCTATTAACCTTGAATCATGAAGCTTGATCCATAAGTCTGGGATCCTAAAGCTAGATACAGGAGAATTGGCTTTTGACAAATAACCTGTTAAAAATGAGTTTTTATAGAGGACACATGGTCCTTGGTTAAGCAAAGCTGCACGACATAAAAGATTTGGATTTGCACTCGTGACATATTCCAAAAATTTAGATATAATAATTGATTTTACTCTTCAAATTAATTTTATATTTTTTTTACAGTAATAATATTTATTTTAAATTTAAGAATATTAATAAATATAATAATATTTATAATATTAATAATAATATTAAATTTGTATGACTAAAGTTTTTATAGTTTTTAATTCATTCAAATTAAATTTATGGTTTTTCTTTAATAATGATAATATTTTTTCAAATTTAATAATAATAGTTTTTTATTTTACTCTTCAAATCAAATCTATGGTTATTTTTCAATATTGATAATATTTTTTTAAAATTTATTACTTATTTTATCAATAATGTTAATTATAATAAAAATAATAATATTTATAACACAAATAATTATATTTAAAAACTTAAAACCTAAGAACCTTGAATCCTGATGCTGAATTCAAGAGAAATGGATCTTAAAGCAGAACTCATTAGCTTTGGGTCTTCACACCACACCCAAGAGAATTGGATTTTGATACAAGACTCTATTAAATTAGGTTCAAATGCATGACTCATTAGTCGTGGATCCTAATATAAGATTCAGGAGAATTGGATCCTAATGAAGGACCTATAAGAATTGAATCCTTATATATGATACATAATCTTGAGTCAAGCGAAGCTACAAAACCTAGAAAATTTGGATTTGTGCTCTTGCCATACTTAAGTAATTTGGACGATGTACCATTTCTAGATCCAAGTTTTTTTGGGTGTGGAAGGGGATGCTTGATCTAAGTTAATAATAATAATAACAATAATTAATTTTATCCTTAAAATCAATTCTATATTTTTTATAGTAATAATATTTATTTTAAATTTAATAATATCAATGAATATAATAATATTTATAATAATAATAAACTCGAATGACTTAAATTCTTATAGCTTTTATTCCTTTCAAATTAAATTTATAGTTTTTTTAATAGCAATAATATTAATGATGATGGTGATGATAATTTTTAATTTTACCCTTCAAATGAATAATGATGGTGATGATGATAATAATAATTTTTAATTCTACCCTTCAAATGAAATTCATTTTCAACATTAATAATATTTTTTCAAATTTAATAAGTATTATGTTAATAATTTTAACTATAATAATATTTATAATACAAATAATAATATTTATAATATTTATAATATTAATTATAACAAAAATAATAATATCTATAAAACAAATAATAATATTTTTTATATCAATATTTTTTATAATAAAAATAATTATATTTATAATATAAATAATTATATTTAAAAATTTAAAATTCAAAAACCTTGGATCTTGAGACTAAACCTAAGAGAACTAATACTCCATTTCATTTTCGGTGAAAAACAATATTCATTTTCTAATCTTAATACTTTTTTCAATGTATTTGGAAGTGGTAATAATTATTTTTTAAAATGTTTTTTACTTTAAAATATATCAAAATAATTTTTTTTATATTTTTAAAAATTATTTTTAACATCAACATATTAAAATAATTAAATAAAATTAATTTAAAATTAATTTAAAATAAATAAATAAAATTAATTTTTTTAAAAATACTTTTAAAATACAATAACAAACAGTATCTTATCTAAATTATAGTCATTCTCCAGTAAGTATCAATTACCACGGTTGCCTACATTCCAAAGTTGATCTAATATTGCAAATAGTACAATAAATCCAATGCAAGAGCCTCTAAACAGCCTAACCCATGTTTCAAGTCACCTTATTTCTCTCTTCCCTGTTCAACTTTCTCGAACACCAAACACAATCTAGAAAACTCAAATAAATAAAGAAACTAAAGCCACGGTACAAGGGAGGCTTTATTACCTCTTGTAGCCCAAGTTCACCCCCCTGGCGTAGAGTCCCAGGACAAAAGGAAAATGTAACAGAGGGAAACGGAAGCATTTATTACCTGAAATCTATAAGCTTTCTGCGAAAAAAAAAGAAAAGAAAAGAAACAAACGAAGGCTTAAACTCGAATTCTTGACTGCAGAGTGAATACAGGTCACAAGCCATCCGTTTTCTGGCCCTTGAAAAATTAATCATTCTGGGCTTGTGGGCAGAGGATTTTTCATTCCGAAATTCTCAGCTGAAATTGTCATATCGTGTCTTGGAATTTTGATTTCGTTGAACATTTATTGATTAACAACTTCTGCATGGAGATGTGTAGAATGCGGGGACGTTAACTGATTATCATAGACTCGTGGGCTCATCGTCGTCGTTTTCTACTTTCTACAATCTAACTTGACATTTCGCTGATTAGATAACTATCGTCACTGCCTTTTGGTTGGTTTGGGCACCTAAGATTTTGTGATTGATACCACCAGCGAATGTTATCAAACCCGAATCGAACAACAATCCGGTCAAGCTCCAAATCACCGGTCCAATTAGTAAATCTCTGACGGCTAGGTCGATTAATATTATAGTATAATATAAATCTTGCAACAATGAAGTATAAACAAAAAACGATGAAATAAAGAATGCATGATTTGTAAAAGTACAGATACCAAGATCAAGTGTTAATTTACAATTACTATTTGTTTAATAACTGGGTCAATGCTAAACGCACCAGTTGAATTATTCTTTCTTCTCTCATTTTATTAATAAACGGATTAATGCTTGACCCACTTGTAAACTGGCTAAGTTTTACCTAGTTTGGCTAAATTTGATCTGTTTTGATTAAGTTTCGATCTCTAACATCAACCCAGTTTGGCTAAATGGCCTAATTATCTGGTTTTTTTTTATATATAATTTACATGGATATTTGAGTTAGTTTATATGTACACCATGATCAATTCCATGATTTACTAAATATTCTGTAAATCTAATAAACATATAACATATCATAAAAATAAGCATAATAAAACTCGAACCCGAATGCAAAAAAAGAAAAGAAGTCCCTACTAGAGTAATACCTCAAGTGCTAATCATCTGGTTTTTGATTGGATAAGCTGGTAATCCCTACCACAGCTAGAGTAATACCTCAAGTGCTAGTCATCTGGTTTTTGATTGGATAAGCTGGTCAGTCAGATTTCGACAACACTGCTAGGAGGTCCATTGTTCAACTCAATTTTAAACAATTTGTGAATTTCTAACTCTAGCATGCTGCAGACATAAGATGGGCCCTCGTATTAACAGCTTGTGACTTCGTCCAGCTCTAGAAGTCAAAAAAAAAGAAAGAAGAGGTGGGTCCTCATCATCAGATTAAGTATGACTCGACACAACAAATATAGAATATAAATATATAATAAAGGGTTTAATACATGAATAGTAGAGGCTGTATCCTTAACAGGCAGAGAGCATGACCACGGTACATTTAAGGAGACGGTGTCATTGTGTCAGTGTACTAACTGCATCATTCTTAGATACCCCAAGTATAGGTTTTATATTATGAACACTTAAATATGTTTCGACGTGGGGTATGTTTTGGAGTGGGGTTTTTTTTTAATATTAAATATATTAAAATAATTTTTGAAATTAACATTTAAAAAATATAAAAAAACTATTTATATCAATTTTTTTTTGATTTTTTAAAAATATGATTTTCACCTCAACTCAACTCAACTACAATAAATGTTATAATTAAAAATATTTTTTATTTAAAAATATATTTAAATAATATTTTTTTAATTTTTTTAAAATTAACATATCAAAATAATTTAACTAAAAAAATTAAAAATTTTAAAAATACCATGTTCCCAACATGTCACCCACTACCATTCACGTTCATTGGGATTGTCAGAGCCATTAGTCCAAATAAAACTGCTCCAGCATGACCTCAAGCACGAGAATTCACCCCGTCACAATACCAAAAACATGCAACAACTCCCCTTCACAGTCCTCGCAATGATGTGGCAATAAGTGATTTGCGTTAAAGATGATGAAAGAGGAACGACAGGATAAGATCATACATGCACATGCGGCTGAAAAACATCAAATAGCTAGTCCCCGTGCTTCTTCTTCCCCCCCCCTCTCTCTCTCTTTTTTTTTTTTTTTTTAATATGATGTAATAAAAAATAAATTTTTAAAAACTAAAAACATTATTATTTTAATACCTTTCAAACAAAAACCATTTTAAAATAAATATTTTTAAAAGTTATTTTTAAAATAAGAACACAAAAATAATTTAAAACAAAAACAAATTTGTTTTTTTAAACTACAGTTAAAAACACAAGATGAACCATCCCTTCCATTGCTTACCGTCTGTCTAATTATAATTATTTTTAAAATACTTTTCATGTTAAAATATATTAAAATTATTTTTTTTATTTTTTAAAAAATTATTTTTAATACCTATACATCATAATAATCTAAAATATATAAAAAAATTTAAATTTTTGTAAATTATAATTTTCACCACGTTCCAGACGTGCCTAAATGCACAACAGATAAAATTTTTGTAAATTAAAATTTTCACCTTGTTCCAGACGTGCCTAAATGCACAACAGATTGGTGGCTGTCCCAGGTTCACTGATCTAATTCTATTGAAAAGCAAACATGGACTGCATTCCGTAACAGGCACAACAGCCACCATTCATAAAATATTGGTCTCTCCGAGGTTCACTGATCTAATTATACTGCCCGGACTCAAAACTCCCACCAACACCTTTTAGGATCAAGGTTTGCATTTTGCGGGCCAACAAACACTTAGCAGGCGGGCATGCTGCGTAAGCAATCTGTTTATTTCAGATGCAAGCATCATCCAGCACAAAACCTGAAGACAACAACAGTGTACCTTCGGCTACAGGCAGGAAATGAACTCGGATAAGGATCGCAAAAATTCCGTAATCGCCCAGATGCTAAATACATAATAAGGTCAATAGGAAGACCAACCTTGACACACCCTGGTCGGAAAAAAACCCAGACTCCTCTAAAAGAAAAACTAAAAAAATCAAGAATTAACTTCATCTTGGCAATCCAGTGGAAATTATGGAAAATCCCCACAAATAAGTTGTATACAAGACACTCAATATTTCAAAGACAGATGAATTCATATAAAAAACTTGTTTAAATTAAGGAAAAATAAAAAAAAACTTGTTTAAATTAAAGAGAAGTTTAAATTAAAGAAAAGGTGATCACTCAACCAAATGAAGAACAAATTGGTGGAAAACACCGACTAATACAAAAGTCCCTGATTAATTAACTACAAAAATCCTCTCTGCCAGCTACAAAAACCCTGAGTAACTGCAAGAGTAAAAAACAACAGTATCATAAACAAAGTCAAAGATAAGTCTCCAGCACAACGCTCCAAAAACAAAATCAGGCACTGAAAATTGTGGTCGCGATGACAGAGAAAGGAATCACATAGGGTGGATGGGTTAAAACACACTTCTATTATCCAAACCTGATTAGCCATGAAGTAAACACGATGTTAAACTATCCAAAACAATCGCATACACCAAGCTTTGTCAGTATTACAGTGACAACTGTAACCTAAAAAGATGGCAATTGGTTTTTTGAAAAGTAGAGATTAATATAGGTCAGGAAAGTGATAGTTAAATTACAAACTGAAAGAAACAGTCACAGCGCTTTTATTTTATAATATTGATTCATGCATGCAATAGTAAAGCATGGTTTACAGACCAATTTGGACAAAAACAACATCTTGGCAGTTTGAGTAAAAATAAAGGCTCCCCTTCATTTTGTAAAAAATTGTAATCCACCTCGCATCCAGCTTCCAGAAGAAACCATTTGAAGATTCACCACGCATCCAGCTTCCAGAAGAAACCATTTGCAATACATGACTTTAAAATTAGTAGAAAATAAACATACATCAACAGTAACCATTTACCAAAATCATCACAATCATTTCCCACAGATTACAATCCCACAAGACAATCAAAGTAGTCTATGTTCTACCACAAAAAATAGTCCACCAAACTTACACATTAGATCCTGATCTTATAGAGGCAAAATTCAAAAAATTCAAATTAAAGTGACAAGGTCAGGGCAGGAATGCAGTTCTATTACAACCATAAACAATCCTACATAAAGAAAGCACTAGAAGTAGGAAGCAACACATAAATGAGCTATTGGCAATGATCATAGGGCAAAGTGTTCCTCAGATAACTGTACCTCAGATATTGCTGGGATACATGAAAACCCGTACTCGAGCTCCCTGCAAATAAACCAAAAATTAATTAGACAAAGCCAAATAGGCAGAAACTATGGCACGCCAATAATAATATCTTTGTTTATCATTATTTTTTAACAATACCATTGACTTTGGAGGCAGATTGGATTTGAACTTGGCTCTCACTACACCACTGTTACCATGGGGCCTGGTGACCTTGCCCCAAATGCAGCGGTAATGGGATCCATCCCTTTTCACCTTGGCCTTGTAGATGTATGCCATACGCTTCCCAGCATACCATGCAACCTCTTCTTTTGTGTTGACACCCTCGATCTGGATCAGTGATGTGTTGGGATATTGGTTGGACTTCGACCTGCAACAAAAAAATATTTTAATCTCCAAACTAATCCACACAGCATGTCCACACTCTGTTTCATTTCTTGTCACATACTATTCATTTTCCGAAGCTCACACAAAAGAATCAAATTACTAGAAGTAAATCCACTATATTAGTTGCACTAATTAATCAATTAAATATAGTTCATTAATAAAAAAAGTAAAACTTGTTTTTTTAACAAAAACAAAATTCTCTAGCAACTATTTAATAGAGCATTTGCTTTTGATGAAAAGCATTTACTATAGATATAAAAAGGAAGCTAAAATTCAATTAGCACAACAGAATCACACACAATAGCCTCTACAGAACCTAACCCGTGATTCAAATACCCTAATTTCTTATTTTTCTCATTCAATGTTCTATGTAACCAAAAACAATCATAAAATACAAATTAGCAGATTAAAGCCAGAGTACTAAAGTCAAGTTTCGGTTATTACCTCTTATAACCCAAGACTGTTCCCCGTACATAAAGCCTAAAAAGAGAAACAGAAGAATCGTCACGAACGTAATTATTAGCTTAAATCTGCAAATTCTTAAAAAATGAATACGGAATACTTTTATCCTATAAACATTTGCGTATAAGGAAGGGCGTGCGATTATAGATCGCAGACCTGACTCGCTCTCCTTGGCGTCCCTTCACCATTTCAATTCGCCGTCCAAACTCCCTCGCATAAAGCGGCTCACACTTCGTTGCGGCTCCGCGTATACCAGAAAACCCTAGATTCTAGTTCTTCAGTGTCTTTATATAGAGGAAGGAGAGTTCGGAGGATGTTCTTATGATAAGAGTAGGCTTTTATTTGGGCCCAAGGCCCATGTTAATTTTCTTCAAGAAATACGTTTGTGTCAGCTGTGCTTTTTTTTTATATGTATATATTAGGCCTTCTGGTCCGTGGAAATTATCAGTTCCTGATGCTCCTAATCTTTCGGCGAGACGTCCTTATAATTTATTTTTGGGCTCTCATGAAACCCATCACGGTTGGATAGCATCCCAATTTCAGGATCCTAGAAATAAACAAATGATGGTAACAACAATTATCGGCAAAACTGCTAAACAAAGCTAAGTACGGTTTTTTTTTTTTAAATGGTTGAAAAGTGTTTTTGTAAAATTTTAATATTTTTTATTTTAAATTATTGTTTTTAAGTTTTTAGATTATTTTAATGTAATGTGATCAAAAATAAATTTTAAAAAAACAACCACACTATAATCCATGATGTCACATTATACCTCAGCAGCATGCCACAACGACAAAGAACGGATGCTAATATCCGTTCTCCTCGCAGATGTTGCGTTAATTTGATGCTAGAGCCGATGAAATTAGCATTTTTTGCTATGGCATTAACGATGCTCATTCCAACGATGGATTGAACCAAAGGAAAAATAAAAAAAATCAAGCTTTTGAATTTTTAATTTGAGTGGTTATTCTGTACAGTCTGATTGTTATAGAAATGTTACTCCTTTCCAAGTAAAAAAAAAAAACATAATGTGATCAGCAGCTCTACACAGTCAGATTCTCGCCTTGCTAGCAATGGTAACAGCCTTGCAATCCAAAGACTTCGTTGTCGTGCAATGCATGAAGAACTAGGATTTACAGAAGAGATTGAAAAGCTATAAGTTGGTCTATAGACTCAAGAATGATGGTCGACTGTTCATAGCTCTTCCCTTGAGGTACCTGGAAAAAATAACATGAAACGATAACTTCGCTAGATCTTGCTAACTAAGCAGCACCAATTGCAGATATGACAAAGACGTGCTGGCTTTTACAGGTTGCCATCACATTCTTACAGAAACCGAGAATAAGGAGTTAAAAGGAACACATAGTGTAGCATACTGGAGAACAAAATTATCAAAGGCACAAAGCAGTGATTTGAAGGGTTTTGCCTCATGACTACAACAGAGATTAGTTCCAGTGTTTCTTGACGCAATGGGATGTACTTTAGCTGCAGGGAAAAATTATGGTCATGACAAAATTAAATCACTCATAGCTAAGTACCTAAATATATACACTCAGTTCTCTCTGGTAAAGGAAGAAGAATTGAAGCCAGTTATAGACTACCAAAACCAGCCAGACTATATTGTAGCTGTCGAGAGTGGTGTTTTTGTTCCATCTATGATGGTATATGGCCAAGGCAGTTACAGGTCACTGAAAATATGAAGGAATTTTGTTGATTTGCCAGATGAGATTTCCTAAGTCGAAAAATCTAGCTTCAATGAAAATGAATGGTTGCACAACAAATTCTTCTAGGTCTACAAACGCATGTCTCTGTTTCAGCGTAAGACGGAGAGGTTTTTTATTTCAACAGCTCAAAACTCAATTTGCTCAAATGTTGATAATAAATCTACAATTTTTCCCATCCCGCAATCAAATTTACAAGGAAAATTGTACTCGCAACAGTCCACGTAATATCAGAAATTCAACTATACCAATCCAGAAAGAGGATTGAAAAAGTAAGAACAAAAAGGAAAAGCAAGAGAAAAGTCCTGCTACTGCTATTCCGCTGTACTGCCTGCGACAACTCTTTGTTTCCAAGCTCTACGTTCTTTGTAGCTTCAACTGCCTTCAGGACAACGCAAAGAACGGTGTGAGAATGGATTACGAAACAAAGAGCCAAAAAAAAAAAAAAACTTAAAATGATTATCAGCTCAACAGGAAGACCAAAGACACAGGCAATTTTGTTCCTCCTTTTTCCTCCTCCCTCTTCCTCCTCTACTTTTTTTTTTTTTTTGGATGCAGAGGCTCTGTTGTACCCAAAGCACTGCACTAAATTTACCCACTAGCCCAGAAATTAATTGATATACTATAAGCTTAGATAATACAATCCGAATGCAATCGGGTATAAAAGAGATATGAACAAGAACGTCATAGGATATTTCTTTTTTGCTCTCAGAGTTTAAAATGCAAAGGAGCATTCTGCTTGCAGTTTATTCTTCGTGATGCAGGCTAGAACTAACATTCAAAGCAGATTTTTACTTGACAGAACCCAACCATGCAGCCTCACATACACATTAATTTTCCATCCAAAGATATAGAAGGTTCAAAGAAATGTAAGTGTTCAAGCTAGACATGCTGACCTGCTCATACAGAAGCTCTATTTGTTGTGCTTGTTGCAGAACATGCGTTGACATTAGATGATTCAATGCAGACATTTCTAGCATCTTAGTTTCGGTTTCTTGAACTGCTTCTAGAAGACTAGTCAATTCCACCTGCATAGCTCAAATTGTATCAACCTCAAAGACCCATCTGAACAATTGAAGAATCCCATACTGGAAAAGGTTGTGAGAAGCTCATCAATAGATATTCTTATAACCTGCAGGGCACGAGTCTCATCATCCAACACCTGCTGCTGCACTCTAAGAGACTCTGGCTGAATGTCATCAGGTTCACTGAATTCTAAATTGTTTGTTTTAGAGGAATCAACAGTAGTTGTATTTGTATGTGTATTTGCAGCCTGGTTAAGTTTTCTTCTCGGTATCCTTTTATTAATAGCATCTTGGAAGCGTATAGCTCTTAGCTGATCAAACCGTGCAGTGACAGAATGAAGTTTCTCACTTAAAATCAAAACCTGCAAATTTAAAAGCAGCAGCATGGCGAATTAATTCGGCAAAACAATGCCTTAAATTTCATTTCAGCCCAAAAGAAAAAAGTGAATCCTATGCTGGGATTTCAATACAGAAAGTGAAGTTATTAGCAAATCCTGAATCTACAAAGAATGAAATTTGTATTAAGACTAGACAAAGACAACTGACTCTCTCTCCACCACCACTGTGATAGCAACAGAAAGGGTTTGCATCACAATACTTGCATGAAGCATCAAAACACTGTTTGTAGTTATAATATCTAATACAACTGAGAATTGTGACAATTTACAATTAGAGTTCCAAGGTCCCTAATTGATTTAATATTCGTACTATGCTACATGTTTAGAAGAATAGATCTATATTAAATAACAAACTTCAATCACAATCTATACCATGGAGATTAGGAAGAGAGAAAGGTGATTCAGTCAAGGAAGGATACTGTTCCAGCAAGCTGAGTATTTTATCCCCAGACAAATTTAGCATGCAATGAATAAGCTCGGTTAAAACTAAAGAAGAGAATAACCATACCACCCCATGTTTGTGTGCTATAGTATCAGCGTTGGAGGTATGAGCCTTGATGCCAAGCCACCCCTTTGTGTTTGCTGCTTCATCGTTTATGCTATTCTTGAGAATATCAATTTGTTCTTTGCATGCTTTAATAAATGCAGTAACCTGCAGAAATTGTTGTTACAGAAAATGCTCAGGAAAAATAGTCCCATATAGAGATAAAGAAGATCAGATGGCCAGAAGGACAATCCAAGTTATTTTAAATTGCTGCTTTAATGAACATGCATGGAATTTGTGATCCCTCCAACAGAATAGAAGAGACAATAAATAGTTCATTAAGACATACAATTAAACCTAGGTGTCTATCACAGCAAGGTTCATTGAGCTATTACCATATGGAAGGCCAATGCTTAACTTCCAGGCATCAAAACAAGATAAGCTAGTTAAAAACAACACCCGATGAAAAACCAATAACAGAAATAATACTAACATTTACTTTCTCTATCAAGCACAGCTAATTGAAAGATGGATTATTTCTACACTGTCTCCAACTATTTAAGAGACATTGACCCGACAGACTATAATACCCCACAACTTACCTCTTGTTCAATACTATCCCTCTCCTGTTCAGTGGTACGATGCAGATCAGCATAATCCTTCCTATGCTTCAACATAAATTGTTCTAATGCTCCAATGCTTTCAAGATAATACATACACCAAATGAACCAACCAAAAAAAGAGTCAGCCAGCCAGTCATATATAACTTGTATGTGCATCCCAAAATGCTCCTTTTGTTTAAAAAACAACAAAAAAACTCGAAACTTCAGCCTAAAATAAATAAAATAAAAAACAATGTTAGCGTAAACAAGCAGTGTCGAGCAGAGTGGCAGCATCAAACATACCGTTTTAAGAGCAGCTATAGTAAACGGTGATCTTTGCCGTGGTTTATGAATAATAAAAGACGCCATAATAGCTGCCAATCTCGACTGTCAAAAAGCAACCAACTCTAAATTCAGCACCATTGATATAAGAAGGAAACTGTAATTTGAAGAAGCAAATGAATAAAATAATAAAAGAAAAATTAAAATTTTTACCTCATTGTAACCTAAAGATATAGCACTGTGCCTCAATGCATCTTTAAAATCCTCTGTTCTATCTCTAATTTTCGCCATACTATCTTTATACCATCACCATTAAATTACCTTCGAAAACCAGAAAAAAAATCAAGCATAAATGGGCGAACTGGATCGAACCGAATCGAAAGACTCCAGACAGTGTCAGTGAAAAGGAATTTAACTATGATTAAGTTGAAGTTGCAGAATTGTTTCGAATACGAGAGGAGGGAGATCGCGAGAGAGGAGAATTGGACCCAGAAAAAATCTAGACTCAAAAGAGAGAGGCCAAGAACGTAACGTTTCTCTTTCTTTTCTAATTTTTTAATGAATAGACGTGGTTAGGTCCATCAAAATAAAAAAATTAAACGGCCCATCAAATTTACAGCCCGTTGTCGTGTATAATCATTTCATGACAAAAACCAAACGTGCCCTTGATAAATCTCAATTTTCAAAATTGCTTGACAAAACAAGAGGCTTCAACCTCAACGCTCTTATTGTGGCTAAGCAATTCAAGTATCAAAGAAGCAGCTTTGCCTTTACAGGTTATTTTACAAGTACAAATTAAGCATTTTACTCTTCTGTTCACTGAAGTTCCGTTCTTTTATATTTTGTTGTCATCGTTTTGGTATTCTCTGTTTGATCTGTTGGCTAGCCCTCTTTAATTCGCGACATTTTGAAAAAAAAAATTACATTTATTTATGTTGCCAACGATGGCATTGTATTATTTCGTGTTCAATGCCTCAGATTCTCTTTATGAATTTTTCTCTATGAATTTCATTATTTTAAAGCAGTTTCTATGATTTGAAATTAATGATCACATTTTTATAACTTGCACATTTTTATATCTTTTGATCAAAACAAAACGTAGATAACTGAGATTCATGTTCACGATTTATAGGCTAGCACAGGGTTGATAGAGTGATAAATCCCATTTTTACACGCATAAGGTTACCTTGTCTGTGACAATTGCTGGTTGCCGCTTGATTGTGTACCTTTTCCCTCTTCATTATTTGGAATTTTGTTGATTCTTGGAACACGAAATTTGGGTTTTGTGTAGTTAACTAGGTTTTTCTTGATAATGTAGGAAATGGGTTTGTGGACGTTATTGGAGGGATTTCTGCTCCTTGCAAATGCATTTGCAATATTAAACGAAGATCGTTTTCTTGCACCTAGAGGATGGAGCTTCTCTGAATTCTCTGTAGGTCGAACAAAGTCTTTGAAAGGGCAGCTTATAGGTCTCATTTATGCGACCCAATATATGAGAGTTCCACTTGTAATACTCAATTCCATTTGCATCTTTGTAAAGCTGGTGTCTGGATGATGCCGCTGAGGTAAGTTAAAACCGTATGTATATGGTTGTTTCTATGTGTGATTGCTGGTATAGATTGTATGGTTAGATTTGTTTTTTGTCAAGTAACGATGCCCTTTTCATAACGGTTAGGCCTTACCATTGATTTGGACTTTTTGTTAAACGTAAAATGGATAGAAACTGAGTTCTTTCATTATGATGCTGTTGTGGTGACATGGATTTGGTGAGAGATGAGGTAGAAACTTGGGATTGGTGGCCTTTGTGGCCTTTGTCACTAGTATACTTTAATCATTGTATGTATGATCTGAAAGATTCAACTGTTTAGATAGGGTCTCATGTAGAATAAGGGTTCGATTGTGTTACGGCAGGGAATGGTTTTCATTTCTCTTTCCTTCCCTTTTAAAAGACAAAACGGAAGTCATGGGTCATTTTGTGATCTACGCTTACACAGTGTGTCAAATCAGTAACAAGGATCATAGAAGTTTGTGGATGAGGATAGCAAATAGTACTTGAAACGATTTTCTTTCCCTTAAAATTAGTCAGTTGGGAAGAGAACAACATGTTGTACCTTTGGATCGACTTTATACTGGAGCTGCCAAAGGAAAAATTGATATCAAATATTACAGTAAGACGACTGGATGTGATGTCTCTCTTCTCCAATCTTGTATTGATTGAAGATGAAACCCACATGTTCCTTTGCTTTGCGCATACATTGGTTGTTGTCTAGTCTTTGATTTTTGTTGCTTCAACTCATAAGGTGACTAGTTTTGAGAAGGATTCCTTTAACAAAAAAATGTAGTGAATGCTTAAAGTTCTTTGGTGGGAGACCTATACGTTCCTTCAGCTTCACTTGATACCTTCTCTTTCATTGCTTCTTATCCTGCTCTCTCTCTCTCTCTTAATTAACACAGAGTTCAGGAGTTTTCATTTGAACTTGAATCCATGCTATGGATTTTTGTTTATAGCTATTTTTGTGTGATTAATTGAGTTCCCTTTCTTTTCTGTGGCAGCAGCATTCATGGAGTTTGGCTAATAGGATTGTAAACAATATTTTATTTTAGAAAGGCTGAGGAGGCATGTGACTCAGACTATCCAAGACACGCTTATTCTGGAATATCCTTTATCACAATTGGTGATTTTAAGGTTCTTTCTGTTGCTTAAAAAACCACGACGAGATGGGATGAAAATGGCGTCGATTTTGCTCAATTTTATAATTTGTGTTTGTATTGTTTCGACAAGTTTCAAAAGCAACTAACCTTCTATGGCACTATTAATTTTTGTTATCAACCTAATTATTCTTCATGATTTGATATGGTAATAATGTTTTTCGTTCATCCCTCGATATGTATGGTAATGCGATGAACAATTCTACTAATGGTGGAGTGGATGTATTCTACACTAGTTATGTTTGTGTGTAATAATCAGGACTCGACCTTATGGTTCTTAGGAACATTTGGTGTTCATTTCACCAGTGAGCTGAGTGGCTTGATGTGATTCTGCATGCAACCAGATATTGAAATAGCGATGCTGGTCCCTTTTTTGTGGTTAATGCTGATATTAATAAGCTAAGTCTGATGCTTGCCCAAAAATTTTCATGAAACTAGAGGAAAGAAAGCACTCTTTTCATCTCTTCTTGTTTCCCATCAAATTATCGAGCTCCCACTCTCCACTATAGGATTCTACAACCTCCGGGCTATACTGTGATGGAGAGCACAAGTCCAGGCCAGAAAATCGTTTAGTTGATTTAACCGAGCTAGTTACTACATCCAGTTGAACTGTGTTGGATAACTGTTTTAGCTATCAGTATATGCTGGCATCTAATTTTTGCAGACTCTATCAGAATATCAATTGGAATAATGAGTTCTTCCAGGTTATTGTAATGCTTCTGGATATAATCGGACTATCATATATCTGATCAGACAACCATTCTCCTGCGTTTTTAAGCAGAGAATTGGCTCAGTGGAAACTTACCGTTTCCTTTATTATGGAGGCAGCTATGCACGGAGTATTTTGAAGCTATGCTCACAGCTCGCCCCCCACAATATATTTGAACATAATGAGAGACTTCCAGGGCACTTTTTTTTTTTCTTTACTCAACCAGTTTATGAGCAGTTGATTTCATCTGCATTTTCTTTCTCGACAGTTGCAGTTAAAGAAAAACACTTGTCCGGATGAAGATGTGAAGCTTTACTGATTGCAGAAAATAGATTCACATAACTAAGAAAAATACAAAAAAAAAAGGCGAATGCTAAAAAAAACCAATGGGGACGAGGTCTAAATCAAGTAGATTCCAGTCTTCCCTATATATCTGCAAATACACTGTATGTTTTGGAATCTACAGCAATAAGCCTCAGAGCTGAAACTGCTGCTGCAATTGACATGAGGCCAAAGAAACAAACATTGAGCCAATGCCAAAGCTTTTGTAGAGAAGTCAATTTGTTATGCTTTGCTTTTAGGTACATGTGGTTAGCAAGAATAAATGTCAGTGGAAAGGTGCTGATGGCGCCAGTAAGGCTCATAAAATCTCCAAGGAAGGGCAGAAGAGCAGCCACCAGTGTGTTTATAGTTAGGTAGCTACCTCTTACACCGATCCTAAACGACAAGTTGCGAATTGCAAATGGACTTCCTTTAATCCCAAACTTCGTATCCAAATACTCATACATTGGGCTTGCGAATATCTACAAGAAGCATGTGTAAGTTAGCGCAGCAGTCAACAAAATGATAAAAGAGGTTTTCAGAAAGCACAAGTCTTGAATCATTTACATGCAAAGCAATGACTGTTTGCAGGAATGCAGATATGTTGGCCAATGCCTTCACCCAAACCGGACCATTGACGCTGCTAAGCAAATAGGTTGATGTTGAACTTCCATAAGCCCAATATCCAATGAATGTCACTGCATACATTGGTAACACTCCAGCCGTGAATTGGAAGTAAAGTGCTTTCATCATGTTACTGACAACGGGCCGTTTTATTGTTGCCTGTTGCAAATTAATCAACAAAAGACATGATAAGTTTTGAAGGCAGAAGCAGAAATAACCATCCATAGCCTACATCCCGTGAAAAATACTACCGTCAACTGGCGCCTCAATAAAAATGCATAAATTCCCAGACCACAATTACATGACTTCATTTTTATTTTATTTAGATGGGGCAAAAGAACACTCCCAATCCCTCGCCTACCTGTATCTCTGGAAGCATTCCTGTATTAAATGCAAAAACCAGATTAGCAGATGCTCCAATTGTTGTAAAGATTTTGCTTGTTGTTGTTCCTGGAATGTTGTAATCCCTGGATGGTGCTTCAATTCCTACAATAGCATAGATATTAACGCAAATTCAGAACTAGAAAAACAATGGCCAGGGCTAGAAAAATTAGCAAAACAGGAAAAAATTATGTAAATTACTGTCGAACTCAAATTCCAAGTAGCAAGCAAATATGACAGGAAACAAAGTAGTAAAAAAACTGAAGGAAAATGAAATTAAAAAAATGGCAGAAAAAACTCCAGGAAGCAATATGATCTATACGTTGTTAATTCTGACGATCCAGGGACAGCATACAGTATGAAAACAGCAGTCAAAATCATACAAAAACAAAATGCACAGTCGAGTTCAATGAAAATCAAGGATTATATCGAACTGTGTGTCAAATCTACTATTGATGTGCATGTCAGACAGCGTACACCGTTAAAAGAAAAGCATTTAAGACCGCTGTGTGTCAAATTTACTATTTCTGTGCATGTCAGACAGCATACAGCATCAAAGGAAAAGCAGTTATGACCAGTCATTTACCAGTTGGTTGCAAAGAGAACAGTCAAAGAACTGTGGATGTCCCAAAGAAGAAAAGCGGGGATCATATATATTTCACATTTACACATTTGGTTCACTACATAAGGAATTGCTTTGTGCAAAGGATGTATTTTCCATCTTGCTTGAAAATATATTGCAGTTACGGACTCAGCACGAAGGTTTGCAATATCCCCTTTATGGAATCTTCGT